GACACAGCATGTGGCCCTGGTGGCCCAGGAGATGGCAGTCACTGGGGCTGGGCCTTCGGGGGCAGGCTTTCACCCGGAGTGCCCACTGCTGGGGAACTGAACCAGGCCCCTGCCAGTCTGCCGTTTAGCGGGAGGGTGTGAGCCCTCAAGCAGGGGGAGCCAGTGGGCCGGAGGCCCCAGGAGGGGAGCCATGGGGCTTCAGGGCCACACAAGGGGCACCCCCAAGAGCTGCCCTGGATGGCAGGCTGGTGGTGCTGGCACCACGGCTGTTGGTTCTGTCCGAGGTGGAGACCCAGGCCGGGGCAGCCGGCTGGACAGCAGGGGGAGTGGACGTTACAGCCACAGCTAGTGTGCAGGAGCAAGTCTCTCTGGGGCAGAGGGCACCATCTGGGGCCTGAGGGGACACGGACACGTGGCTGCCCCCGGCGGGCTGGGCAGTAAGGCCAAGGGCCTTCAGCCCAGAGGGCTCCCAAGGCAGCACCAGTCCTGCCACCACAGAAAGCAACAGGGCTGCGCCTGCTCCGGGGCCCCTCCTGCCCCCTCGGCAGCTCAGCCTTGTTAGCCGACAGCGCACACTGGGCCTCTGCCTCGGAGGTAGGGGAGCACCTCGCACCCAGGGTAGAGGGGAGCCCTCCCCGCAGGACCGGTGGCCAGGGCGTGCCGCCAGCCGTGCGTTAAATGGGACACGGCTGATCTCGCGCTGCACTTGTCGAGAGGGCCCGGCCCAGCCCAGCACTTGGCGTCTTAATTGGGCGTCTGAGAGCTCCTGCGCACACTGCTGCACACCAAGCAAGCGTCTGAGGCTCCCGCAGGCCCATTAAGGCGCAAAGACATTCCTTTGTTCGCTGACAAGCAGGGTCCCATCCAGGGCTCCCAGGCGGGCAGACTAAGTGATGTTTTCTTAAGAAAGACATGAGATTAACTGCCGCTAAAGCCCCAGCACAATGAGGGCCCTGCCCGTCACTGTCACGCCATCTCTCTGCCGTGACTGACAGGCGCTCCCTCAGCCGTCAGGCCTCAATGTGCGGGATTAGCCTGAGCACAGCAACAAGCGGACTTGGAGCGCCACAGTGGAGACATAACGAGGTGCCTGACGTTCAGGGGACAGAAAGCCTCCAAGACCCCTGCCAACTGCTGTCACTGGGCCACACCACTGGAAGGTTCTCACCCCTCCTGGGCGCCTGCTGGGAGCGCAGCTGCCCTTTTTGCTGTGAGGTGCACACCTGGTGCACACCTGGGCAGAGGGCAGGTGAAAGGGTGAGGACGAGGGAGGCCGGCTCCTTGCGCCTGGGGAAGGGTCAGAGTCTTCTGGGGCATGGCTGCTGCGTGGTGGGGGGCGGCAGCCACGGCTCCTGCCTCAGCACAGCTTAGAAGCTGCTCCCAAATGACAGTGGGGGACAATGGGGAGCCCAAGAGGTATGGCTGACAGCTCGGTGACCAGGCGCCCTCCCCACACAGGCAGGGCACGCTTCAGGAAGATCCCCTCTTTATTTGCACTCGAGAAATGCCAGTCGGGCTCAGACATGGGCAGCCCACAGGTGGGTTTCTGCGCAGGTCGTCATTGTCTGGCATCGGGGGCCTGGTGGGGCCTGTCAGGCAGGAGTGGGTGCGAGGTGCAGGTATGGGGGCTGACCACCCCTCAGGCCATCCCTGCAGGGTATCCGGGCCATCGGTCCACACGCCGCCTCCCGGTGACTGCCTCGGGGCTCCCCAGGCAGGGCCTCGGCGTCCAGTGTCCTGCTGAGGATACAGGCTCAGCATGGGGAGGCCACGCCATCCCCAAATCTGCCTGCACATCTCCCGCGCCCACACACAGGGACCCTCTTGGGCAGATGAGAAACAAGCCCCGAAGAGCTCCCTTCCCCAGTGGGTCAGTGTGTCACGGGGAATGATGAACTATGAAAAATATCTTGAAATGACAAAAATGTACAGCAGGCTTTTACCAAAACAGCTCTGGTGGGCACTGCTGTCCTGATAAGCGTCTCCTCAGGATACCCTTTGTTCGTCATGCCTCAGCAGCCCTGCTGGGGGCTGCAGCAGAGCAGGTGCAGAGAACCCCTGGACACCGGCCCCTTGCACCTGCCTGCAAGCATCTTTCAGGGCACTCTCTGCTCGCGGGAGCCCACCTCGGCCCACGGGACCCCAAGCCCTGGAAGGGCTGATAGCCCTGGGGATACCCCAGGATGGGCTGCTGAAGCCGAGAGGGGCTCTCAAACCGCCAGGTGAAAAGCTGCATGCACGCCTCGGGCAGGGGTCAGGGAGGGACTTGCTAATCTCTTCCTCCTCAGAAGAGGGTCAGGATGAACCGTACTCCCTGCGGCTTCCGGCCACTGCCTGCTCAGCCTGCTTGCAAAGCTCCAGCAGGACCAGATGTGCAGCGGCGGCTGTGCACCCGGCAGCGTCTCCACCTTCCGGGTGAGACAGAAACGTGCTGCCGCGAGGAGCAAGGGCGGGCGCGAGGGCCCCTGAGCCTCCCACAGCTGCTGTGCCCCCAGAGAGCCTCTGCAGTGTGAGCCCAGCCTCAAAACCCTTCCTGTGTGTGGGGAGCGGCGGCAGGCGGGCCAGGGTCTGGGACGCCCTCTGCAAGGTGGGGCCCTGTGGCCTCCCTTCCCAACTCTGTTTCGGAGGGGGGGGCGTAGGGTTGGCCTTCGTGGCCCGGGCAGAGGCGGTGCAGCAGGGAGAGCGCTTCATCACGGCCCCTCCCTCCCCCCCTGCTCCATCCTTAAACACGGAGCTCACCCCACAGGCGTACCTGGGTCTGAGCCTCCGGAGAAGCCGGTGTGGGGTGGCGGGCATGCCGTGTGCCCGGGCCTGGCAGGGATGGCGGCTTACCCTCAGCAGCCCGTCACAGTGGGGTCCAGGCCTGAGCGCTTGGAGATGCGCAGCTTAGCCACCTCCTCCGCGCAGGTGGGATGGATGCCCACTGTGCGCATCACCTGCTGGTAGGAGGTCCCGCACCTGCAGGCAGGAGGACAGGGGAGCCAGGTGTCAAGTCAGCACAGGGAGGCACGTTCTCATCACCCCTCCTTGGGGAGGTGGCGGGGCGGGGGGGCGCCTCGGAAGTCACCATCCCCCAGCCTGGGCCCCTGGCCTCTTTCCTCCAGCCAACACCTGCCTCACCTCCCTCCGAGCAAACACCTGGGGCCACAGGGGCCAAGTGGTGCCTCAGGACCCCCTCGGCCCGCCTCCCGCCGGCCCCCTCCCTCGTTTGCTCCAGCCTGCCTCCTGCTGCCCCTGGCCCCCCAGGCACAGCCCACCTTGGGTGGCGGCTCCAGCTGGTCCTTCTGCAGCCCACTCCCTCTCTCCGCCAAGGCGGGGCGCGACTCGCCTGCCTCAGTGAGCCAAGCCCACCTCTAGGTACTGCCACCTGCACCTGCCACCCTGGTCTAGCCCTCTTCACCCTGCCCTGCACCCAGGCACTTCTCACACACGCGCCCCCCGGACCCTCAGCAGCAACCACCCCCTCAGGCAGAGGGCATGTGGACGGCCTGCAGGACACGCCTGTTGTCTGTGCACAGGAATATCCGGTGGTAAATGCCCAACACCAGCAATGAACGTGTGTATTTCAGATGTGGACAGATGGTCCCCGTGGGCAGGTCTGTTCACACACCCTCCTCCCGTGTCTGAGACACGGGTGTCATCAACCCACTGACCTGCTCAAACCTTCTGCAGCTTCACTGGGCAGACGCTACAAACATACCTACCAGACAGGATCAAGCCTTTTAACCCTCACTGACCAAAATGGCTTCTTGGTGTTTCAATTACATTTTAAAATTCCAAAATGAGGCACAGCAACTCTCTACTGTTTAATTTTCCTGCAAACTGCCTGTTCATGTTCTCTTTTTATTAGATTAGTCTTATAATTATTCCCGCTGTATATGAGAGAGGCTAGGGTGCTGTCTGTGAGGCCCCTGGGGGTCCAGACCATGCCCTTGGCCTTCACAGCCCCCCACCAGCCTTCCAGGTGGTGGCTCTGCTCCTCGAGCCCCTGCCCTGTCCTTGAACCCCCCACCTCTGCCTGCCCTGAAGGCCGGCCCTCAGCCACACCCACTCAGCCAGGCACACGTGGGGCTCCTGGTGGCCATGCACCACCCTGTCCCCTCGGCTGCTTCACTCCATCCCTCCTGCTTCTGATGGCCCTGCACCCAGTGCCCACCCTTAACTGCCCTGGACCACCCACTCCCCGCCAGAGCCCCATCAGGGCCCTGGAGCCCCACAACACACAGCCTGTGCCCAATCGCCAGCTCTGGAGAGGCATGCCCGCTGCCTGGGGTACCTGATGCTGAGACCTCGCCCATGATCACCTGGGCACTTGGCCACATGGCCAAGGGCCTCAACACTGCTCATTCTGAGTAGAAAAGACCCAAACAGTGACGCCCAGGGCTGGCTGGGGACACGAGCCTCCCCCCTCGTCCCCCAGCCAGCCCAGCCACACGCAGACTATGTGGCTGCCCTGACAGTACATGGCTGGAGGAGAAACTACCCCTTGCCTGGTCCTGCCATGCCCAAGGAGAACCCTGCCAGTAACGTGCACCCCACCAGGGCAGCGTGGCTGCAGGGCTCCCAGCCGTTCAGAGGGACCCCAGCCTGAGCACCCGGAACGGCTGACATTCCTCCGGACTTACTTGATCCCCAGAGCAAATCCTTGAGTGACTTCGCCTGCATTGGGGCCGAGAAAGTGCAGGCCCAGCACCAGCTGTGGGGGCTCCCGCAGACACACCATCTGAAACCACACTGTCAGCTGCCGGCCTGGCCGGAGGCGGGCCCCGGGGCTGCCCAGGGGCATCCATGGCCACGTGGGGCTCACCATCCCCGGGGGCCAGCTCCTCCCTTCCCTCTCACCTCCTGGCACGCCCCGGTCCTGGTCCAGGAGGAGACTCACCTTTATGTAGCACTGTGATGCGTCCCGTTCAGCCACTGTGAACTCCAGGGGTTTATAATATGCGTGATAAACCTGGGCAACAAGATACCAGTTCCTGCAGTCGGTGGCTGCAGCCAAGCCATGGGCACGTTACAGGACCAGCAGGCTGTGCGGGCCATGCAGGGGCTGAAAACCACTGACTCGGACTGCAGGCTGTGGCCTGGGGTGAGGATACGGCTCGGCTGGCCGTGGAGAGCAGCCCTCTCCCATGCACAGCAGCCTGTGGCCAGAGCCACCACGCTCTCTGCAGGACAGACCGTCCCCCTCCCGGGCCCTGAGACCCCACGAAGCACAGCAGCAGTACAGCAGGCCTCAGACTGCTGCGTCTGCAGCTCGTCACAGTCCTGGGCTCGAGGAGGAGCCCGGGCGCAACCCCCGTGGACCTGCGGAGCGCACAGGGTGACTCAGCCCATGGTGGGTGTCCTGCCTGCCCGCTCACCTAGGGGCAGAAGTGGGATGGCGGTGGCGGCCTGGCCGTCCCCAGCCCCCCTCCCTGGGCACCCCGGCACTTGAGCAAGGATGAGGGGGCAGGCCTGGGGCCCACACTGGAGCTGCTGGACAAAGCTCGGCGGCATGCTCAGGGCTGCGGCCGGGCAAGAAATGAGCGGGGCCTCCCGTGCGCGGCACAGCTATTATTAATTAATGGAGCTTCAGCCAATATTGTTCTAACTAAGACAGAATGGAAAAGAAAACAAACAAACGGTATTTGGCCATTCAACATTGAGAAACATAAAACAACATTACAGAATGCCACGAACATATGTCCCCGTGTACTTGCGATGAATCAAACAAAAACAGCAAATAAAGTGCCGGGGAGAAGGCCAGCCTGTCAAGCTTGGCCTGATGATGGAGGGGACCAGGGCACTGGGGCAAGGGGTAGTCCCTGGGACCCAGTGACTCACCCCCAAAGGGCACCAAGCCCTGCAGTGGTAGCCACATGGGGTCTGGTTTCTCTGGGTCTGCCTGCAAGCTGGGTGGCACTGAGATGAAGCCACACTGAAGGCTTCCAGCATATACAGCCTGGCAGGTTCCAAGGCCTCGCAGCACGCTGCAGGGCCATCTGGGGATGCTCTGTGGCCCCCGGGGGTCATGGCCAGCCTGCAGGATCAGCCAGCAGCAGCTGTCCGAGGACGCCTCCCTTCCTGGGGGGGCGGTGCCCACATCTGGGATTCAGGGGACCTGAGGGAACTGGATGAATCTCAGAAGAAGAGAGGAGGCGGGGACTAGCCTCAGGCTGGGGCAGGGGCAGGGGTCATGCCTGCCAGAACTGCTGGGGGTGGGGAGCGGGGGCGGGGGCAGTGTTCCAGGGGTGGAGGGGCGTGGAGGGCAGGAGAAGCCTTTCCTGGGGCCACACCTCCAGGGCTTCCTCCCTGCGGGGGCTGCCCTCCAACACCCCCACTCCATGCTCCCTTCCCACCATATCACAGCCACTGCTCTGGGCCCCCACACCCTGCCCTGCCAAGCTGCAGGCCCTGGGAAGCAGAGATGCCAACAGTGCTGCTTGCCTGCTGCGCCTTTGTCGGGGAGGGGCCGCCATGAGGGCGAGGCTGCCCGGGGGCCACGTCCCAGCAGCCCCTTCTCCTTGGGGCCCCGACCTACCTCCACATGCTCCTGCCCATGGCGAGCCACAGCCGCCTCCTCTGACAGCCCCACGCAGCCGTACTCCAGTGGGGTGAAGACCGTCGTGGGGACCTGGAAAGCAGGTTCCGAGTCAGGCAAGCCCCCGGGGAACCCGAAATTGAAGATCCCCACTCCAGGACACAAAGCAGAATTCGCAGACCAGGCCCCCAGACGTGCTGGCTGGCAGGCCCCAAGACAGCAGGCAGACTTACTCCTGGGCTGCGCCCACAGACTACACCTCATACATGTGCATGCATGCACACGCTCACACATGCAGGCACAAGCGTGAACACACCCCCAACGCCCCGACCGAGCTGCAGCCTTCTACAGGCTGAACTCAGCGTTCTGAGGAGCGGCGGGCACTCACATTGTCATAATCCATCAGGTCTGAGGACTGGTGGCAGAGCCGCTGGGCTAAGAGCTTTCCCGCCATTACAGCCGTGGGTGTCAGCTCGGGCCGCCCCTGGCAGGAGGAAGGAACACCGGGTCACTTCGGTACAATGTCTGAAGGAGCCTGCGCAGAAACCCCATAATGCGGTTCACCTCTGAGCCTGCGCGAGGCAGGGCAGCACGCGGGGCCCTTGGCACGTTGCTCATCCTACCATTTGCTTCCCTCCACCCTGCTCTGGGGAGACGCCATGGCTATGATCCCCTTCTTGGAAGACAAGGGGAGCTACTACACTGGCCACACCATCCACGCTGACCTGCTTCTCTCTGAACCCCCTCCCTAGGTCGGTGACCTTGGAGAGCTACCCCACGACAAAACCCAGGAGAGATCCTGCCACCTTCCAACGTTCGCACTGGCTGGGACTCGAGTGAAACAGGCCCTGGAAGCAGCCTGTGCCTGACGTGTGGCTTCCCCCACCACCCCGCCCGGCACAGCCCGTGACAAGGCCCAGCACAGTGCTGTTCTGTCCCAGGGTGCGTCCTCTCGGAGCAGGCGCTGGCACAGCCCCGGTGTTCCTGCACGTGGCAGCCTGGGACCAGCTGCCAATCACCTCTGCAGTGGCAGGAAAGGCAGATGTTGTTCGACATTCCAGAAATGAATAGAGATCCGCAGAGATAAACTCGCGAACGCAGCCTGTGCATTCCAGCGGGCCTGCCTGACTGCGGAAATGGCCGTGTGCACAGCGCACAATGTCTCGCCCAACAGCGGCCACCCCCCACCCGAGGACCCTTCCCTGCCGCCCGCCGGCCACTGGCGCTGGCTCTTCTGTGGGCGGCTTTAATGCTGCAGTGAGGAACAGCTCTGTGTTACTTTGCATGGCAGGTCACGGGACAGCCCCCCACCCACACCACACCAGCAGGCCGCCTAGGCAGTCGGACGCGACTCTAGGCACGCGCCCCAGCCGAGCCGTCCCCACAGTCCCATGGCCTGTGACCCGTGTGCCATTTCAGGACCCGCACTTACAGGGGCCTGAGGCACTCAAGCGGCAGCTGCTTGACTCACGTCTGAGCACCGGCCACAGTGGGTGAGTGTCCCCTTCAGGAACAAAGGAAGGCCCAGCCTTGCATGGTCCCCTGCCCCAGTCCGTCTTCTCTGCATGTGTGCCAAACTCCCCTGAAGCTCCCCCGCCACGAGGAGCCCTGGCAGGAGCTGGCGGGTGAGGCTGAGGGAGGGACACCCCGCAGCACGGGTGCCAGCCAGCACCTGAGCTGGCGGCTCCAGGATGCCCAGCCAGGGACCTCCTCGGCTAGGACACGGCCCGTACCCGCCATCCCCAGGCACTTCCCCAAGCGAGTTCCCAGGCACATGGGCAGGGCAGTGTCTGCACTGCCCAGGGGGCACAGTGTCCTCCCTGAGCTCACGGCGCCCTCTGCCCTCTGCTCCAACTGGGGGCCCTCTCCACCCTCCTGAGGTCTCTCCTGACGGCACAAAGCATCTCCTGACATCCGAAACAGTTCACTTCTTTGGCGTCTGTAACCCACCAGAAAGTCGCCTCTGTGAGGGCCAGGGCTTTCATCTCTTTCCACAATGGCCCCGAACCCAGAAAAGTGGGTGCTCAGTCAATAGGTGATGAATGGATGTAAACTAACACATCACGGCAGGTTTAGCTGCATCCCCGCCTCTTGCCTGCCTAGACCTCAGAATGAAACCTTATTTGGAAACAGGGGTCTTCACAAATATAATTAATGTAAGGACTGTGATGAGGTCATACTGGATTAAGGTGGGCCCCAAAACCAATGAGAGGGTCCTGCTAGGGGACAGACGGGGACACACAGATGCAGGAGATGGCAGAGACCAGGCGCGGCAGCGCCAGCCCAACGACCTTCAGACTTCTGGCCTCCAAATGTGGGGGGATATATTTTTGCTGTTCTAAGCACCCAGTTTATGGTGATCCGTGATGGCAGCCCCAGGAAAACAGGATACAGCTCGGCAAAGCTGGCAGGTCCGGCCACCGGGTCTGCCGGGGCCTGGGGCCCAGCCCACCTCTCACGCCCCCATGCTAGGAATCCTCCCGAGCCAGCTTCCTCAGGGTGTCCTGCACACGGGCAGGACAGGCCAACTGCTCCTGAGGCTTTGGGGGCATGGCGGCCCCACAACTGCCCTGCTGCAGGGAGGGAGGGGCACTGGCTGGATGCCACCCAGGCTTGGTAAGTGGGACTGAGCCCGCATCATGTCGGGCCCCAGCACTCGTGCCTGGACTCCATCTGACGGCCTTGTCAGGGGGAAGAGTGACCCACCCACAGATCAACGGGGACACTGGGGTGAGGTCAGGCCTGGTGCCGTGGGCCAGGGTGACCCCAAGGCAGTGCCCGGCCGCAGCATTGCTAAGGTTCTGCGCCGGCTGCCCACCTCGGGGAGATCAAGGCCCATGCTGAGATGCGCGAACAGGCATCGGTGCCTCAAAGCTGACGCACGCACGTGCTGAGCACAGGCCTCTCCTAACGGTGCCTCTGGCCATCTGTAAGCCTCTCCCCCTCCCTCCATGGAAAGTGCGCTCAAGAGAGCAGAGGCCCACGCCTGGCTCCTCCCAGAAGCCAAGTCCCCCAGCGCCTGGGGCTTGTCCCCCCCTGAGCCTCTGTGAGCCGGACGGAGTGTCCTGGAGGCCCAGCAGGGTGGGAGGGCAGGCTGGGGACTCAGGCAGGGGCTGTAGGCCATACCTCTGCTACGTCTCCGATGGCGAAGATGTGAGGGACGGAGGTGGCTTCCTGGGCGTCCACCAGGACCTTCTGGCTGTGGGGGTCAGTACTCACTCCCGCCTTCTCCAGAGCCAGACTTCCGGTCTCTGGAGCCCGGCCTGAAGGGAAGAGAGCAGGACCGGAAGGTCTCCTTCAGCAGCGCTGACGGAGGCCTTGATCTAAACCACCTCTCAGACTGTCCACTTGGAATCAGTGAAGCATCAGACACCAATGGTGTGAGGGTCTCCTGGGCTCTGTGGGCCCCAGACAGACAGACACACACAGACAGACACACACAGACACACACACACACACACA